AAAAAAAAAAAAAAAAAAAAAAGAATGGAACGAAATTTAATGACGAAAAATATCCCACCGATTCCCCGAACGATTTTCATTTTCCAGAAGCGGCAATCTAATCCGGAACTCCTCGTATCGAACCCCGATTCTATCCAAGTTACCCGCGCGATACACCCGCGGGTAACTGGAAGAGCGCGACGACGACGAGGACGACAACGACGCTGGCACGTTTTATTAAGAGATAAAAATGCAGTTAAAAACTATTACACCGGGAGAAGCCACGCGTCGTTCTTGTAAAGGAGCAACGTTGGAGGAAGATTCCGCTAGATTCCCCTGTAAACTGCATCCTGCAACTTTTGCCCGGGAGCACATCCTTAGGTAAATGAGCTCTTATCTCGAGCTTCGCAAAAAGCGCCAAGTGTACACACCGTCCTTTCGCGCGCGCCTAACTATACACACCCACCCACACACACGAGCACGCCAAATCCATCGGGCTTGCTTCGAGTTCTTTAACCAGTTATCCGCGGTTATTGTGAATAAAAAGAACGAAGAAGAAAAAGAAGAAGAATAAAAAGAAGAAGAAGAAGAGGCTCGAGTGTACATAACCATATAATAACAGTGTTGGTGTAGTTCAAAGTATCCATACGATGCGAACCAAATGAAACCAAGTGAGCCATTTCTAAAAAACCTCTCCCCCTCTCTTCATCTGTGTGTACGCGTCGTGTGCATGGTGGAATGTTAGTGGCGGAAAGTCGGTTCGTTTCGAGTTGGTTGCGAAACCCTTTGTCACGCAGGGACAACAACAGGGAAGGAAGAAGACGGGAAGGAAGAAAGGAAGGAAGAAGGAAGGCGTGGGGCGTGGAGGAGGGATTATTAAAGCGGCCGGATCCTAATCCGGTTGCGTTGCTCGAGTTTACGTGGTCGAGGCGAAAACTATGCGGCACGAGGCACGATGATGGGGCCAAGAATCGGTGGTGGCCTACCGAGCGGGAAAAAGCTGGACCTGTGCCAGCAGCCGCGTCACACTTGGACAGTGTTGCTGGTGTATTTGGGCATCTGCGTCTTGCTGCCTGTCACGATTCTCTCCGGTTGGTATATTCGATCGTCACCTTACTCTCTTCTTTTTTTTTTTCTTTCTTTCTTTCTTTCTTTCTTTCTTTCTTTTTGCGCTTCCTGCGCTTTCTCTTTCTCCTACATTTTTGCGCCTCTTCTCTTCCCTCCCCCCGCCATGCGACGCGAGAATGGAAGAAGAGAGGGAAAACACGGAAGAAGGGAATTCTAGAATTTTGAAATTCGCGTTAACGGTGTACCGATTCGTTCGCCGGTTGAAATTTCACTCCGGTATTCCGATAGTCGCGAGGCGGAGGGGTGAAGATCGATAAAAAAAAAAATCTCTTAAAATGATTTGAAATAATTGGCCAGCTAACGCGGGGGATCCAGTTTCAGCTTGATCATTTTTGATATTTCACAACGTGTGCACGAAATTTGATACACGCGTTTATTAGCTTCATTGGCTTTATCGGTATCGATATTCTTTCCATTTCTATCGAAATGAAATTTAATATAATTTTCGTATTGTTTTCTTTCTTTCTTTTTTTTTTTTTTTTTTTTTTTTTTTTTTTTTTTTTTTTTTTTATTTTATTCCATCCACCTTTTAACGGCACGTTAAAAATTAATACGATCCGTATTGCGAAAAGCGAACGTATTATACTCGAAAGCTAAAACCGTTGCGTTTTATTTTAGAAAATGGGCGGGAAAAAAAATAGAAACAGGGACGACGAATCGCCGGCATGGAAATAATGGAAAGTTTTTCCCGCATCCCGAATACCACGATATGAAAAAGATTTCTACCTGAGAAATGAACCGCATAAATCACGATACGCTCATCAAGCCTCGCGTCGACTCAATTTTGCCAAACTTTCCCCACAAATCTCGTTGGGGGGCCGCCTAGGCGTCGCCATCTCCATCTTTTTAAGAATTCTTCCAACTCTCGCCGTCTCCCGTGACGAGTCAATTTTTAGAACGATAAAAATGTTTTTTCTATCCTATCTTACACGATGACAGTATCTCTTTACGTAACAATAACAAAGGGAACAAATATTCGAAGGATAATTGTGTTTTGAGAATCGTTCAACTCTTCTCTATTTAAATCTCTATCCCTTTTTTTATATCGAGATATTTGTACACACGAATTTAAAGCATGCGTTAGAACGTTTCTTCGATTCTGATTCTGTTAAGTAAATATTTTACTTAAGTCGTATTTTTTTCTCGATGCGTATTGCGATATCTCAAATTCCCTATTATATTAGAAAATGTATACGTAGATTTTGTATGACGCAGTTCATTTCCGAAAAGAAAATATCAAAAGGCAAGAAATTTTAAACTAAAATTCTAAAAATCGAAACTCTGGAGTGGTCAAGAGGCTAACCACGGATCGCGAGTGATCTCGTGGCTGAGTAAATTTAGAGTCGGTGATATTCAAATGACTGGATGGAACGTCCAGTTTCCACATTTTTTTTTCTCGTCGGGGGAGGAGGGGATCGATTTTTGTTAGTCGAGAGGCGGCAGTCCACGTCGCAATCATCGAAATTTCATTCTCTGCCAATTAACTGCATTTCGCGTTCCAATCTAACGTCCGATAATTAATGTAGAGAATTTTAATCGACATTGCGCCCAATTCGATTGAACGCATTAACGAGCTCTACACACCGACCGCCAGAAACTCGTCAACCCCCTTTTCCCGAAAACCGTTTGTTGAGCCAATCGAAAACTTTCATCCTGCTTCGTGAATCCGTTTTCCAACTGCGGAACAATGCAGCTGATCCTTCTTTCAAAAATAGAAATCCCGCCCTCGATTCGCCCGCGTCGAATTATTGGTTTCGCGCGAATATATACGGAAATTAATTGGAATTGCGACGATGGAATCGTGACAAGTTTCGCGACAAAGCTATAATTTCGCTTTGTTTCAAACGAGGGAGAAAGAATCGAGTTTTAAAATATATACCGAAGAACCGATCTCCCCTCCTTCGAACATTTTATCCCTCGAATAAATTTCGTCGAAAAGTTTCGAATCGATCGACGAGTGTTTCACGGAAGCGAAGATCAACGATCGAAGACAACGAGAGTTTGAACCGAGACTGCCAAATTGCAAGTCGTATCAACGATTACCTTGTAATTGTCTACATCGACCGTGTAGACGCCAAGGATTTGTAAGGCAAAATTAAATTTCTCCCGCTATATTCCATTACGTGGATGTTATTCCGCCTCGACCGTCCCACGATTCTTCGCCATTGTGTTTCTCCACCGCATTGTTACAATTTTGACAATTTAGTCATGCGGCCGACCGTGAAATTGAATGTTTGCTTAAAAACATACAGGCAGACAAACACACATACGGGTTTTATCCCATAAGAAATTGTCCACCCCGGTTTCGTCGGTTTGCTCGGAATTTTTTGACGTTTTTTTAAGAACGATCATCGTTTCTTTCGAGAAAGAAATTGCGGATGAGAAGATGTTTCTGGACGTTGCATGAACGTTTCCATTCGAAGAATTTTCTCGTGATGGTATTCGATTTTTAATTATAAATTACCATTTTTTAATAAACCGAACTTTGCATATATGCATATAACAAATTTTTACGGCACGTTTAGAGAATAAATATAAAAATATCGAGTTAACGATAGAGCTTCAACCTTTTTTGCAAGAGAAACATTTTTCGAACAATTTTTTAAAGCGATGAAACAGAACAGTTCGTACCTCCATACACGTCGGGAAAATCATACCCGGGTTTATA